TACTTTTTCTTGTAGTTTCAATGGAACTTATACTCATGTGTGATTTTTAACATCCAGTGTAGGTCATTTGAAAGATACTGATTTACTGAGCTGCACAGATCCTCCCAATGTTAACACATTTCAGTAAACAACATACATTTTTAAAATAACACATGTTAATATCATCCTGAGCTTACTATAACAGTCTAAGAATTTAGAAAGCTGTCAAGATCACGGTGTAAGTTTTTCAAAACTCTAATTTTTGCTTGAAAACAAAAATTTTATCACTGGTAACAAATAGTTGTTTTCCTCAATGTCACAGCCTCACTTCTTTCTCTTTTGAGAAAATGTCTACCAAATATCCAACTCTGAACAGTATGTCTGCCAGCTGTTCTTTCAAGTAAAGCTGGCCTTCCATGAAAAAAAAGTGTTTAGTCCAGCTTGCAACTCAACTGTATAGTGCTTTTCTCAAGACAAGACATCGTGTCTAGGTGTGCAGCAGCAGGGCTAACATGCCCTTCCTGGGTCTTCATGTCAGATATTTTTCACAGATTCATCAAGGCCTTTCTTCTGTAAAATGGCATTTTTTTTGTGTGTGAGCACAGGGGTGAAGAACACAGTGATGTCTAGTACAACTTCATGCCACTGTCCTGATTTGTGCTAAGGTGTCAGCAGTTCTATTAGTGGAAAAGGCAAATAATATATATATATATATATTTTTTTTTTTTGAGACAGTCTCACTCTGTCTCCCAGGCTGGAGTGCAGTCGCGCGATCTCAGCTCACTGCAACCTCTGCCTCCTGGGTTCAAGTGATTCTTGTGCCTCAACCTCCTGGGTATCTGGGACTACAAGTGCGGGCACCACCATGCTTGGCTAATTTTTGTATTTTTAGTTGAAACGGGGTGTCGCCATGTTGGCCAGGCTGGTCTCGAACTCTTGGCCTCAAGCGATCCACCCACCTCAGGCAAATAACAAAACATTATCAGATGAGTTCTGATGTCACGGACCTTTGAAATGGTCATGGGGACCTACAGAGGTCCAAGAACTACACTTTGAGAATGGCTGTTCTGAGATACCTTCATCCTGAGGCTCTCCATTGATCCAGTGGGAATCTGCAGGAAAGCAACAGGCACAGATGAAAATGAGCATTTAATGCGGTACTCCCATGCAGGGCTTGTCTCAGGGGAAGTTCTCTAAAGATGATTATTATATGAAAAAATTGGTATTAAGCATGATGAAGCGATCCATACATATTCTTAATAATTGGCTTTGTGGTTATAATGCTCTTACTATTAACCAAGTATAAGTAAGCTTTAAAAAAAAATTGAAAAATTTTTAATTTTTTTTTTGAGACAAGGCCTTGCTCTGTTGCCCAGGCTAGAATGCAGAGGTGCAAACATGGCTCTCCACGCAGCCTAGACCTCCTGGGCTCAAGTGATCCTCCTGCCTCAGTCCACTGAGTAGCTAGGATCACAGGCACATGCCACTAAATTTGGCTAATTTTTAAATTTTTTTGTAAAGATAAGAGTCTCATCCTATTGCCCAGGCTGGTCTCAAATTCCTGGGCTCAATTGATCCTCCTACCTCAGTCTCCCAAAGCACTGCAATTATAGGTGTGAGTCACCACACCCGGCCTGTAAGTAAACTTAATTTTGAATCTTGATTGGGAAAGAGAAAGACTTTTCACCTATAAAACTGATACAAGTTTTCACTTATAAAACTAATTAAGCTACATTAAAATTTTTCTATATTAGTATTAATAACAGAAAATTTATCTACAGAAGGCTGAGATCCTATCTAAATTTCAGAAATCTAAGTGGCTCTGGAGGCTGAGGCAAGGGATTATTTAAGCCCAGCAGCTCAAGAGAGCTTGGGCAACATAGTGAGACCCCATCTTATTTTAAAAAAAGAAAGGAAGGTAGAAATAAAAAAAAAAATCTAAGTAAGACAGCTGGGCGTGGTGGCTCACACCTGAAACTCCAGCACTTTGGGAGGCTGAGGTGGGCAGATCACCTGAGGTCAGGAGTTTGAGACCAGCCTGGCTAACATGATGAAACCCTGACTGCACTAAAGACACAAAAATTAGCCAAGCATGGTGGCAGGTGCCTATAATCCCAGCTACTCAGGAGCCTGAGGCAGGAGAATTGCTTGAACCCAGGAGGCATAGGTTGCAATGAGCTGAGATAGCACCCCTGAACTCTAGCCTGGGCGATAGAGCAAGGCTCTGTCTCCAAAAAAATAAAAATAAAAATAAAAAAATAAATCTAAGACTTACTTATTCTAATATATCACAAGCAGAATTATGAAAACTCACCAGAATCTAACGAATTCTCACTTTACAAAGTATAGGAAGTGAGGAAATAGTGGCCTACCAAATTGGAAATCACAGACTCATTTCAGATGTGCCAAATACTGTGACCATAAAAGCAGAATTTGATTCTAAAGATGAACACTGAGAAGGTAAAAACTGCATACAGGACTTGATTCTGACTGGCATGAAAGTTCAACAATTAACATACTAGTATTTGTTAATAATCATCAAGCATCTGTATATCTATGCTGTTTTAGATGATTTTCTAGCCATTAAAACTTTTTTTTTTTTTTTTTGAGACAGAGTCTGACTTTATCGGCCAAACTGGAGTGCAATGGCGTGATCCTGGCTCACTGCAACTTCTGTCTCCCGGTTTCAAGCAATTATCTTGCCTCAGTCTCCTGAGTAGCTGGGTTTACAGGTGCCCGCCACCACGGCTGGCTGATTTTTGGATATTAATAGAGACGGGGTTTCACCATGTTGGCCAGGCTGGTCTTAAATTCTTGACCTCAGGTGACCCGCCCGCCTCGGCCTCCCAAAGTGCTGGGATTACAGGGGTGAGCCACCATGCCCGGTCACCATTAAAACTTTTAATCTGGGGGTTGCCAAATATTTTCTTTAAAGGTCAAAGAGTAAATATTTTAAATTGTGTAGGCTATACTGTCTCTGTCACAACTGCTCATTTACACCTGTGTAGGGTGAAAGCAGCTGTGTATAATACACAAATAAATGGGTGTGTTCCAATAAAACTGTGTTTCAATAAAACTTTAATTAACAAAAACACAGTGGGCTATAGTTTCCTTATCTGTTTAACAAATAAACCTTTGTGTAGAGTGCAACAATTTGCTTATAGAAAAGAATCTCAAAACATGTATTTTGAAAATACCTTAAAAAAAAAGAAGTGTTAAGGATATTTAAATATTTAAGCCAAACTAGTCTTTGTACTCTGAAACCAAAAAAGAAGTTGAGAAGCCTCATCACCGCTGCCCATGAACCTAATTTAGAAAATCAGTCATATTAAGCTCATTAAAAATCCAGCAGATTGGGATATAGACATATGTGTAGCTGAAGAGTTGATTTAATCCTGTGAGTTTTAGGGAAGTGTTGCATTCTTTGGTGCTCATTACCAAATACTTATGTTCCTTTGCACTTGTGTACTAAATAAAGTGCTGGACAGTGAATTATCTTCTAACATCCCCACCCAAGAGGTAGGGAATACAAATAGTCATTTTGCAAATGAGGAATGTGAGATTTGGAGTAGGTAGGTGACCTGCTCAGTCATCAGACTGTAAATAGCAGACCCCCATGTGAATGAATCCACTTGACTTCAAGGCCTGAGAAGTTAATGATAAGATTCTCCCGACTCTCAGTACTGGACTATTCTGCAGTAGTAAACAAATTTAAAAATAGGCAAACTTGTAAACAGAACATGGAGGGCCTCAGATGCTGGGATGTGGGGTACATGTTTGTTTTTTCCTGTGGGTAACTAAGGATTTCCTGTTGTTGTTAAGCTGGGAATGACAGAGAAACATCAGGTGTTCCCACTGCCTTGTTCAATGTAACACCCATCAGACAGGTATGTGTTTCTTCTCTGGGCCTCGGTCCTTCTCTCTGTAGAAGGGGCTGGTCTGAGGCACCCTCTGTCTCTAAACATCTGCATAATTGTGTTAATCACTTATTTTCACTTTCAATGTATGTTTAATGTTACAGAGTTCAAAATGACAACCAAGAAAATAAAAGTTTTCAGCCTTCAAGATAAAAAAAAATTGGTACATTTAAACAGTACTTTGTCTTATCAAATTTCTGAATACTTTTCATAAAGAAAATGAATTATCAAAGTTTCTTAATACATTTTTTAACTAATCAAATATCAAATGGTGGTAGTTAATAACTACTAACTACAAAAAATCCTATTATCTATTAACTTTCGAGAAAAAGAACAGAATTGGAGTATTCATGGCAAGTAACCCAGTGTGTGAAAATAGCATCCTATCAAAAGCCAATGGTATATAAAGACTTATTAATCTAGGGAAAGTGTCACTCTGTCTAAAACCCCCAGCCATGGCATGGCCCAGCAACTGTAAAAGGGCTGGGCTGACCTCTCTGAGGCAGGAGAGGGCACCAGTAAAGGATATGAACATAAGTGGGCAAGTAGGGTCTAAGGATGCTGCTGGAAGATCTTATTAAGGAAACAAAAGCAACTGCAATGTGCTCTCTTTCCCAACAAACAACCCAGCCACCAGCTACGAAAAGAAAAAGGCAAAAAATGTGCAGAGTTCTCAACAAAACCAAACAAAGGAATATGGTCAGGTGGAAACAGACTCATTTTTAAATAAAGCAAAATGCAAAGCATCTGTGACCTAGTTTGGTATTTTAATCCAGACTTGATCATTAGGGAGATCTCTGACAACCAACAAAGGAAAAACCTCCTCCAAGTTAGGGCAGCATAGGAAAAGCATTTTAAGATGACATCTAATCCAACTGCTCATGGCTTCAAAGAACCCCTACTTGAAATACAAATGAGGAAAGTGAGTGCACATGAGGGTAATAAGAGAAGACAAGCAAAAAGGAAACAATTAGTTGGTGTTATAACTATTACTCTTAGAATAACCTGATATTTGATTTTCTCCTCATAGAAAACAGTTGCCTAATTGTAAATCTCAAAAGTTAGTAAAAGCAACCCCAGAGTTGGGGTGGGGACTGTAGCTACCTTGGGTGGCGCTTCATCAGACCCTCCGGAGTCCCAGGACACTGTGGCCTGTCTTCTGGACTCCATCCTCATGCGTTCTTCTTGCTGAGCCTTCTCTTCCTCCAGGATTGTGCTAGAGAGACAACACATTGTCTTAGGGGAGCTGACAACCCAGAGTTAGCACACACGAGACCCCACCCTGAGTTATCTAAGGAACACCAGTTGGCTAACAGTACATGATAACAATAAAGAAAGGATCCTATACACAGGGGAAAGAAGGATCAGGTTTCTAAGTCTTCACGAAATGATTCTAGAATAGCCTTGGTTCAAATGGGCAAGTCCAATTAAAGCACAGCCATAGGTAAGAAAAAGACAGCTGGTAAGAAAAAGAAGTTGCAGAAAATGAAGGACGGGCCAAGATGAAATGTTTGCAAGCCAAAGTTGATCTTGAGCAGAACAGAATTCCTCTGAGAAATCCCACGCAGCACTTTTATCAAGCATACACATGTCTGAGGACAGATTCTTTTCACACATGATGTGATCACACCAGCACTTACGTGATCAATTAGCAATCTGGCCAATAATCTCCCTAAATTGCTCAATACAATCTTCCTATCGTTCAGCTTAACCGGTGCTTTATCTGATCAGGAAAATAAGCAAAAACGCGACAGTATTTACAAGTGCTTCTGAAAATACTCCTTGCTTTAAGCTGGAAACCCCATAGTTGGTAACACTGCTACTTACCACTGCTTGACTACTCAGAAGCTATCTGAAGTCCCATATAATGCTGCAGCCGCTGGAGCCTCTGCAGCGACTGCTAGGCAGCTTCTTCATCTTGGCTGTTTGCCATCACATAAACCCCTCAGAATGCAGCCAAAGCGAGACTTTGCTAGTTTCCCATTTCATGCAGATGCCCCAGGGCTCAGCAGGCAGCAGTTTGAAACCCTTGTCTTAACTGTGGCAAACAGCTCTTCCTACATTCCTACAACTCTAGAGTTCTAATAATGACACTCATTCAAAGTTTCTAGGCTCCTGGTAGATAGTATGCAGTAAACAACCACCCAGAAATTACTCAGGAAAGAGTGACATCAGTGCACCAGACTTTCTAATCTGGGAATTTGCTGTTTAAAAAGACATTCCTGCTTGGCTGGAGGCTAAGAGTGTGCTGTTTCTCACACAACTCAACTTACACAGTCACCTTCTGAGTCAGAAAAGAGACAAAATTCATTTCATAACTGCCCCAAGTCAGCAAACCATCACTACAGATGTTAAGACTTTTTTCATCCCCCAAACAAGAGGGAATGTCTGCCTCAAGAAATGATCCTGTCAGGGCCATGTGTGGTGGCTCACGTCTGTAATCCCAGAACTTTGGGAGGCCGACGTGGGCAGATCACGAGGTCAGGAGTTCAAGACCAGCCTGGCCAAAATAGTGAAACACCGTCTCTACTAAAAATACAAAAATGAGCTGGGTGTGGTGGTGCATGCCTGTAGATCCAGCCACTCGGGAGGCTGAGGCAGGAGAATTGCCTGAACCTGGGAGGCGCAGGTTGTGGTGAGCCGAGATCACGCCACTGCACTCCAGCCTGGGCAACAGAATGAGACTCCACCTCAAAAAAAAAAAAAAAAAAAAAAAAAATAACATAAGCATTTTACATAAAAAGCTTTTAGTCAAAAGTCCCACTCCATTCTCAAGATATGGTTTTGGTTTCTTTCTTGCTCCAGTTAGATGATCGTGGCTCAGCAAAACCACAAAACTCTTCACAGTATTTAAGAACTGTGCAGCAGCCTTGACAGGCAAGATGCTCACTGGGTGCCAGCACTGTTGGGAACCTGGTCCCATGTGCCAGGCCCAGGTGACTCCTGGTGAGTGGTGCAGGGAAGTTTGGGGACAGGTCTGGGGAAGGAGCACAGGGGTCCTGAGAGGGCCACTCTCTCTGCCCTGCCCCTCTGATCAGAAGAACGCTCCCCTCGGCTGCTGGGAGGATTAAGGGAGATCATGGCTGTGAGAGCATCTGCTATAAGCATTACTTGTTATCAGTGGGCATTTCTAATGGCATTTACTTGAGGGCTGCTCATTCAGCAAGTATTTGCTAACTTTGCTAATTTGCTCTGTGCAAGAGGCACGTGACGAGGTCTTTGAGGTGCTTTGTCTAAGAGAAAAGAAATACTCAAAACCTTGAAACAGGGTCAGGCAAGTTGGCTTCTGCCTGTAATCCCAGCATTCTGGGAGGCTGAGGTGGGAGGATCATTTGAGTATGGGAGGTGGAGGCTGCAGTCAGTTAAAATAGCACCACTGCACTCCAGTCTGGGTGACAGAGCGAGACTTGTCTCCAAAATAAATAAATGAATACATACATACATACAATAACAACAACAACAACAAAACACACTGAAACAGGACATGAGTGTTGTGACTGAGCAGTAGAGAAGAGCTTGGCCTGGTGCGTTCTAGCTGCAGAACTCAGTGGGAGAGGGCACTGCCCCAGGCACTGGGGGTGGTTAGGGAGGAAGAGTCCCAGCGTCTCAGCAGGTTACAGTTACAGACTCACACCAAGCACATAATGTTTGTGTACTTTTGGTCATGTAACGAGCATTACATGTCCAAAACATAGCAATGGTTTCTATCCATTTCTTATGTGAAAACAAACACCTTTATATTTCAATTTTCCTTATATATTTTAATTTATGACTTAAACACCTTTTGTTATACTTTGAGTGAAACAGTGCCTGCACATAGCTGACACTTAAATATTTGCTAAATGAACAAATACTGTATATGGATAAAATACATGCATTATCATTACCTATTAGATGTTTAACTAAGCTGAGTAAATTCAGGGATCATTAGTGGTTAAAAAAAAAAAACTGAATGGGAAAACAATAAGGCTCAATCAAACTCAAGGAGTTTGAGTCACACGGAGATCAGGTTTAAATTCTGCCACAGACAGACCATGGACAACTCTGTCCCTCCAAGCCTCATCCACAAAATGGGGTGCCTCCCTAACTACCTATCTTGAAGGGTTGTTGTGAAGAAGATCTAAATGAAAATTAGACAGTTTATGTGATGAGCTCTGAAATGCAAGAGACTTTTAAAAATCGAAAGAACTATTAGAAATTCCCCATCAGATAATAACCTGTGTAGCTAATGGCTACCATTCCCACAAAGAGCTATGAGTCTTTTTCTTTTCTTTCTTTTTTGTTTTTGGGGCGGAGTCTTGCTCTGTTGAATGGGCTGAAGTGCAGTGGCGCGATTTCAGCTCACTGCAACCTCTACCTGCCAGGTTCAAGCAATTCTCCTGCCTCAGTCTCCCAAGTAGCTGGGACTACAGGTGCACGTGCCACCATGCCTGGCTAATTTTTTGTATTTTTAGTAGAGATGGGATTTTACCATGTTGGCCAGGCTGGTCTCAAACCCCTGACCTCAAGTGATCCGCCTGCCTTGGCCTTCCAAAGTGCTGGGATTACAGACATGAGCCACCATGCCTGGCCTCCTACCTTTATTTATTTATTTGTTTATTTTTTATTTTTTAAAAAAGAGATGGAGTGATACTATGTTGCTCAGGCTGGTCCTGAACTCCTGGGCTCCAGAGTAGCTGAGATTACAGGCTTACACTATACGCCTGTGCAAATATTTCAAATGAGTTAAAATCCAAGTTGAGCTTGAAATACAAAGGAGCAACCATGTCTTTTTATAAATTCATCGAATCACCTATGAAGTGTTAGCAATACAACTATTAAGACTGGCCATCAATCAAACCAACAGATCAACAATATGCCTGCTAAAACAGTCACTGATATACAATGCCTTTGAACTTGACAAATGTAAAGACGTTACAACTATAAGGAATAGGAGTTGATACTTTGGTATGAGCTAATATAGCTTCACCCAGTCCTGAACATTTACCAATGAAAACGTGGGAAGCTATATCTTAACTTTCTAGATTGTAAAACACCAGTAAATCCATACCTCAAAAGGCTGCTAATGGAGTTAAAAATACGTATTTTTTTTTAGAGCTGGGGCATGTGCACACATGGTGGGAACTACCATTGCTTTTAAAAGTGAAGTGATTAATCTCGCTTCACTTCCCTTTTTCCTCACCTATAGCCCTTCTTCCTTTAAGTCCTGGCAAGTTCTCTGAACTCATTATGCTCTCCCATGCCTCTTTATGTTGTGTCTCTTGCCTGGAACACCTTTCTCTTCTTTCTCTGGCCAACTCTTACTTGTATTTCAAGTGTCAAATAGCAGTTCCTCCAGAAAAATTTTCCCTGAAGCTCCCTCCTCCCTTTAGGCTAAGTTACATTACTCTCCTTACTCTTTTCCAAAGAAACTAGTGCCTAACTTGCTCTTAACTCTTGCCAAAAGACATTGTAAATATCTGTTTATTTGACTTTTGCTCCCATTAGGCCAAGAGTTGTTACCTGAAGGCCCACTTTCAAATGCTCAGAATTAGCACTGACCCTGAAGCATAATATGAATTAATAAATGACAGGTAAATGGATGAATAAAGCCCTATCAGTGGAGCAGGTCTACTGACTAGTCAAGAAGAGCACATTATCAAGCTTCCTGTTCTTTTCAAATTTAGTTTTATTTTTATAGAGACAGGGTTTCGCTATTATTGCCCAGGCTGGTCTCAAACTCCCGGGCTCAAGTGATCCTCCTGCCTCAGCCTCGCAAAGTGCTGGGATTATAGGTGTGAGCCACTGTGCCTGGCCAATTTCTTTTTTCTTTTTTTGAGACAGGGTCTAACTCTGTAGCCCAGACTGGAGTTCAGTGGCGCGATCACTCCTGAACTCAAGTAATCCTCCCACCTCAGCTCTCTGAGTAGCTGGGACTACAGGTGCATCACCAGGCCTGGCGGATTCTTTTTTATATTTTGTAACAATTAAATAATAAATAAAAATCTCACTGTGTTGCCTAGGCTGGTCTTGAACTCCTGGACTGGAGTGATCCTCCCACCTCAGCCTCTCAAAGTATTGGGATTACAGATGTGAGCCACCATGCCTAGCCCCTGTTCTCTCAACTGGCCAAAAAGGAAAGGACCTGCAGGCAGCTTTCCTCAAGATGGTCACTGGGCGCAGGGGACCAGTCAGAGACCAGGAACAAAGAAGGCCTAGCTGGCCTGAGAGAGAAGC